CATTTTTACTCTGCATATAACTCCATTATACACATCAAAGTATTCTAATGGTCAATGTCACTGCTGATTCCCAACTAGATCACAAACACCATGTTAGGAGTGTAGACACTGTCCTTTCATCACTGTGAGCACCTATTAAATGTTAGTTTGAAACCTGAATGAGTCAATGACTAGGTGAATGAATGAACCAATGAACTGGCAATACACAGAAACTGAAATAAGTTCTTAATGCATCTTGAAGCAACAAAAAAAGTCAAAATCATAACAAGATCAACACTGGTTTTAGTCAGCATTAAATAAATGTAAACTCAGTGTCCCTAGGACTCAATCACATCAGTGCAGATGACAGTCACTAACAATTACACAAATACAATGACACAAGTGACAACCATACAAATAATCTGGTTTTGACCCCATTTACCCACAAATCTCCAGCCTTCTTGAAAGTGCACCCCCTAGTGTTTTGTAGGCCTCCACAGGTAAAAGGTCACCCATGCTCTCAAACTCCTTTAACCTATAATACCTCATAACACCTTCCCTGCCTTCCTCTCTTGTCTTCACTTCTCCTTAGCAATAACTTTTAGTCTCTCACCTGTTTGAAGGGGGCCTCAATGCTGCAATTCCTGATGCTGCCTTCTTAGAGAAGTCATCAAGGATGCTGTCTTCCATGTCCCAAAGCCACCAATCTACAAGAATCAGAAAGGCACTGGTGAAACTGCCCTTCTCTCGTATTTATCAATTTCTGCTGCCAGGATGACCTCAGTCAACTTCTTGTGCTACTTCTCCTCTTATCTGAAAAAGTTTTCCATGAAAACAGGGCTCCATCCTATGCTTCTCCAATAAGGTCTCAACAAAATGTGTAGGGAGTGTGGACTTGACTCTTAATGACTCCATTGTTGTTTTCTGTCCTTTCTCAGGGATCCTGTGCATCAGCCTCTCAATTCCGACCCCAGCCAAAATAATCAGCTGCCTTGTAAATAGACCTCTAATTGCCTGTAATTACAAATTCCTCAGATAGAGCCAAGGAAATCTTAATTCTCTCCAGGTTCAGCAAGCATTCTGGCTACATAAAGATTAGGCCAATGTCATAATTTTAGAGTATTACACCCTAAAATGTCATTGCTTCTGACACAGACCGTTTACATGAGAGAAGAAAATGAACAGAGGTGAACTAGAGCAACAAGCCATGACTGT